CAAGTGATTGATCAATAAATACATTTCCAGACCAACTATAAATAAATTTGTATCTTAAAAGAAATATCCATACTGTTTTAGATAATTCATAGCCAATCACTTTTCTTTTTTCTGGAATATTCTTGAACCCACCCACCCCACAAGAAATGGCCAATTAATTTTTAAGTCCTAAACTGCTACAAATTTACAATTATTTCACTTTATGTAGTATGTGTACTTGGCATAAAGTACATTCTGGGCCCCCACCCTCCCCCATACTTAATCTAGGAACAAAAGTAAAATATTAAGCCCTAGTTAAATTAATAAAACAAAAATCAAATTCATTAAATTAAAGAACATATTAAAAGCAGCTAAGTTGTATGAATGGTTAGAAAAAATATTCTATTAATAACAGAGCAATATAAATGAAATGATTTTATGAAAGAACACAAAATCATCTTGTGGTAACATGCATCTCACAGTAAATTATTTATAACTGATCAGGCTCGATTAATAACTCATTTATGTTACTCATAAATTAACAACTTTGTTTAAATTACAATAATTAGAAATTGAGATTGAATTGTTGCAAAAAACGCTAAAATTATTTATAAAAAGTAGTGGTAAACTTCTGCATGGATTTCAGTTATGAACAGTTAACTTTGAAAGACACAAGATTGGTTGGATCTGATTATGTGGGCCTACAAGGTTTTTTGACAAATATCTCAAATGCTGTTATTTAATTTTTAATTTTCAGGTCTTCTTGTGTAATGTATCGTAAATTTTCTCTTTCAATGTAAAAACAGTTATCACTTCAAAACAACTATTTTTTTTTTTATCTTATTTTCATTATTCATTTTATTGTTTTTTGAATGTATTTATTACTTCATTCTAGAATTCTAGCTTTGAAACTTGTTACAAGTGAGTGGCTTGTTAACTTTATTGTAGGCATACACACACCTTTTTTAGTTGAGTTTTGTCATGTGTCTTTGAACACATGATATTTTCTAACAGATTCTCAAAATTCTTCAAAATTGTTCTTCACCAGTTCATAATCCTCACAAGGCAGAGTTCATTGTGAACTGTCCAATTTTCTATTCACATTCTGTTGGATTCCCACTTCAATTTTGGCTATGGGAAATAACTATAGTCTGTTTTACATCATGGAGCATTACTTTGTTCAAAGACTTAACATGTGCTATCAAACAGCAAGTAGCCATGTTTAAGATTGAACAGCTTCATTCAGCTGTCTGTTACATTATCCCAAGAATGCAGGTCATTGTTGACATAAATGATATCCACAATGAGCAGGTATAGTGCCTTCTGTTGACCATTTTCATTGATCATGTGTTTATATTTCCCATAGTCTCATTGATATATTCACCAAGAATTATTGCTCCATGATGAATACTGTTATGAAGAATCCTGTATTCAAATGATATTATCTCCACTTTGTTATAGTTTTATTGGTTGATGTTTTAAGCAGCTGCTTTTTGTCAAACTTTTGTTAACAAGGCACAGCAAAGAGCAGTTGCTGAAAATATCATCGAATAAAAAAACTTTAATTTAGTGATATTACTCTGCTTATGTTTTCTTGCATCTTAAACCACATTCATGTTTGTTTGTTTTTTTAAATGTAATGAAAACTGTATAATCTTACCAGGAAAAGAACCAGTCAAATAATTATAGTATACATTACAGTTACAATGTTTTATCAAGTAATAGATAACATACTAGAAATGAACTTCAACTGTATTCAAACTGTATTTTTGTATTTTGACAAAAGTTTTATAAGGTGAAAAAATAAAAAAATGTTTAAAACTTGGTGTTAGATTGTAAATATGAGTGTATACTTAAAAAAATATATATATTATTTTCACATGAAATGTTTTTGTTTAGGTATGAGTATAAAGATACCCTCAAACTTCCTAAGGTCTGTCATTAGTTTTACACCAAATCCTAAAATACGAACTCATTTTTCATGCCTACGTGCACTGTGATGAACCAATTCACTGGAACATCATTAAGATAGTAAATAATAGTAAAATTAGATTTTGCATGATTCTCTATTTATATTTACATATTAGTATTGCAAAACTATATTCTATCAACCAAAAATATATCTATTGTGAAAATGTTTTATAGCTTAAATAAGCAGAACATACAAATTGTTTAAAACCATCCTGAGTAAATTCTGTTTAACATCAGCCATGTAAATAGGTTTCTAAAAACATATAAAAATCATACAGCTCTTAAAATGTTTTTGAAAGTTAATCTGAAAATCTATTAATTTTCACCATTGTTGATTTTCACTTTTACTCTCTGCTCAAACTGACACTCAGAATATAACAACAGCTCAATTCTTGAACATTGGTTGAGCAAACAATGAATACCAGCTAAAGTACGTAAAAAACTGGAATCACCATTTAATCAGATGTCAAGTGCCTTGAATTTAATAATTGAACTGTGAGTTTATTTACTCTTTCCACATCAACGTGGTATCATGGATTTTTTTCCTTTTCACAGTGGAAATACTTAACAAAATTATATGAAACTTAGAAAGAATGTATTAAATAGCATCTGTAGTTTCAAATTAAAAACATTGTATTATTTGATATAGTTTTATAGATTTTTATGTTGGGAAAATGACAAAAAGGTTTTGAGACACTGTTATGAAAATATTACCTTTAGTTTTAGAATTTCACCAGAAAGTTCCATTTTAAATATCCAAACAGTTTCAACTCAATTTCTAGTTAAATGTATCTCATGTTGACATGGTACATCATAGCTAATGCCTTTCTCTGATTTCAGTGGCATAAACTGATGAGAATAGTGACACATTCCATTCATTCGATCTTCAAATTAACCTCCAGCTACCCACTGGTACCCATTATACAGCTGGGTAGACTGAAACAATTAGAGTAAAGTGTCTTGCCCAAAGATACAACAACATGTCATGAGCAACCATTGAACTAACAGCTTTCTAACTACTTGTCGAAAGCACTAGCCCTTTGACCACCCCTCCCTCTCAAGTTGATTGATATTCATTAATATATTTCTTTTAATACTTTGTTTTACCAATTGTTTTCCAACTACAAAAAAGTTGAAGTCTGTTATATTATACTAAGGAATCATTACTAGCTTTGACATTGTATTATAAAACTAGTCTAATTAATAATTATGTTCTCAAAAATGATGTTTTTTTTAGTAATTATGAACCTCTTCTTTGGAATGGGCAAAAAAACTGTTGAGTGCATTATTTAAACAAGTACTCCCCAGAGATGCACAGAACTGAGAATTTGAAAATTCTTTTTAATTTTCATTTGCAAATTATACTGTTCAGTATTATTGACGTGTTAGCAAACATTTAATGTTTTTTTCTGGTTTAACATGTGATTTAAAGATAACACTTTTGCATACTTTTATTCTGTATACAACAAGTGCCTTTTGTTGTTGTTTTATGTTATAAAAAAGTGTGTTATGAAGAAAGTCATTTTTGTTTTATTTTTCATTAATTTTTATTTCTTCTTTCTAGCTTTTCAATTTATCACCTTACATTAAATTTTGAATTTATTCAGGATAACCTAAGTAGAAAGTTGCTTGTGTAGTGTTTTTATATGTAACTAACCACAACCTGCAAAACATTTGTATTTGTTTTCATTCTCTTTGACTGAATTTTCCTTATTCTATCATTTTTACACATGGTATTTAAGCTACACTTTTTTCTTGGCATTGTGTATTAAATCAATAAATCCTGGTCTATTTGAAAAAATTTGACAAAGTCAGACTAACAAATTTATGTAGAAGTAACTAATAAAACTACATGTAAGGTAAACAATAAAGTATAGTAATAGTATTTATAATAGTGTACACAGTATGAAACAGTTAGGAGTGTTCAGTGTATGACGTGGTTTTATGAGTATAAACAAAGAAACTCCAAAAAAGAGAATAAAATCTGTACTAAAGTAAAAAGTAGCTAAAAGGTGTTTATAGCAGTCTATGAAACAAACTGAAGCCAAATTATTGCAAAGTAAAGTAAATGTAAAGTTGTAATGAAGGCAAACTTAGCTGAATATGCAGAAACGTCTGAAAGTGATAAGTATATGGTTTTGAATGAACTGCGGATGTGTATTTTAGATCTAACTAAGTCAAGAAAGCCCATAGCAATTGCATTTAGGAAGCTACAAATGGGTTAAGTGTTGTTTGTGTGAAATACTTTGCAAATAAAAAACTAAAGTTGAAAGCGAAACCAGTCATCACATAATGATAGCAACATAGCATACTTGTTGCATTAAGAAGTTTTACTAAGTAAAAAATAGGTAAAGTTATTCTGAATGAAAAAGCCAATATGCAATCTGGACTCCTTGTACAAAGGTCTTTCTAATGATATGAGACTTGTAGCATTTGATTGAGAAATTTGCAAGACAAGTTCTGGACAGACAAATGCAAGTGTATTGTTTATATACATATTTGTTGACAATGACTAAATGTTGCAAATTTTGAATTGGGTACCAGGTCTGTTAATTAGAGCAAGAATACATGTGTGTATTGGAAGTAAAGGAGGTACATTTTCTTTGAGGGGTTACTTTATTTTTTATTTATTTTACTTGAATTACAGTCTGACATGTAATCATTCAAAATTCATCTGAGTAGCAATAATGATCAATGAACAGATAATAGTTGGACATTTCACTATTATATTGGGGAGAATGTACTGAGAAAAATCATTAAAAAAAGGGCAAGTGTTCCTTCTTTAGCTATATTAATATTTTATACATCACTATGATCAATAATGTATTAAAATGAAAAACATTCAATTTTTTTGTTTATCAAAAATTGAAATTCCCTATCTTGTAAAAAATGTTTTGGAGGTTTATGACATTTATATGTAGATGCTTTTTAATATGTTAAAGATAGCACACATATTTCTTGTTAATTAAACACGTATATAGATACCATAGCTTCAACAGTATTACATTGTTTAGTAATTATTATTTGTGATTTACTCTTAATTTTTCAAGTCCAACATGGAAAATGAACTTCAACTAAGGAATAGTCAGTTAGATGAGAGCTTGATTCTTGCAGAAGCTAATCAGGCAACAATCTCCCAAAACCTAGAAAAAGCTGAGTCTGAACTTCAGTTACTACAACATCAAATGGGATTACTGAAGGAGGAAAATACCAGACTTTCCTTGGAAGTAGAGTTAAATGGATCTACATTGGAATTCACAAAATACCAACAAAAAGAAAAAAGCAGAAGAGGCAAAAAACTTGAATTTAAAGAACAAGAAAATATGATGCATATGAAAGAAGAAAATAAAAAGCTCAAATCAGAGTTGGAAACATTAAAAGAGGAAATGTCCATCTTTCATAAATTAGACAATGCTCAAACATTAGAGATCAATGAAATAAGAAAAGAATTCCAGCAAAAATTGTCAGAAAAAGATAATGAGTTAAAAAGTAAATTAAAACAGGTGATTCAAGATTTTTCAGGACAAATTGAGACAAAAGAAGCTGAGTATGAGGGATTACTGAAAGAAACTATTGGTGAGTGCTGTAATATATTGATTTACTTTTACAAAAGCAGATTAGATACATTATTTTTTATATCTGAGTATCATTAGTGAATAATTCTGTGCTTTTCACTGTCTTGTGTTGATGAAGAATAGATTTAAATATAATTTTAATGTTAAATATATACAGTAACTATGTATGTTTAAACGGAAAGCATAATTCAGAATTGCCAATCACCTCTCCACAGAATAAATAACTAAACCTTGCACTACTGCCATAAAGGTTTCAATCAAGTAGTAGGATGATGACACATCCTTCATGCTTAACACTCTACTTGAGCACTTTTCATTCATTCTTTTCCTCAACATTGTAGTGTTCAGTTGTGCTCTTTTATTCAGATTTATGGCCTTTTTTTTTGTGTTGCACTTATTACTTTAAGTTTCAGTTACTTATTCAACTTGTTTTCTTTTCTGTAATTAATTTTATTGATTTGTATTCAAGAATCAAATTGACTATAAAATCATGTGTCCAGGTCCAGACACTCCTCAACAGGAGTTGTAATCTTCTGTTTCAATGGTGACTGGAGGCTGGTTCTATTTTATCTTCTTCATCTCTGATCCAGAATTCTCAACTTCCTGCTTCTGTTGCTTTGCTGAACCTGCCTCAAATTTTGATCAGCTGTTCCCACCAACTTCTTTTATATCTAGTTCATCTCTCCCTGAAAAGGATCACGTAACCTAATTTCATCCTTTGTTACTTTGACAACCCAACAATCTTTTTCATAACTACATTTATTTTTGCTAATACTTGATTTACCTTGCTAATTATCATTTTCATCATCTTCTCCCCTGCAGATCGTCTTGTTCATGCTGATTCCTTATTGTCTTGTGTCAACACCAAGTTAACATATCTTCCTATACCTCAAGAATCTTATATGGTGTATGGTAAATATTTTCTTGAGTTGAAATTTCTTGAGTCTTCTTCCAGCTTAGGGATCTGCTTCTACTCTGTCTCTCTTTCACCCTCAATCTGCTTATCTTTGTCTTTTACTTTCTCTATTTTTTATATCTTTCCATATAACATCTTTCTAAGGCTCTACATTGCAACCATGACAACTTTACTGGGGAAAATCACACGTACCTGTAGTGTCCCATATAACCTGTTTTCTTTGTTTTCAGATTTGTTCTTTTGAGATGACTTATTTTCTGGAGTTTGACATCCTCAGTCTTATCCATTTGGTACCTGTCTTTCAGATAATGTTTTAGAGAGTTTCTTATACATTGGAAACTTCAATTGAGACAACTCATCAACAGCTATCTTCTGCTTGTCTTAGTCTCGGTCTCCATGAAGGTTTCTCATCCACTGGAGCCTTGTAGGGTCACCCTCTCTTCTGTTTTTTGCTATCTTAGTAATTTTCAGTGCCCTCATCTTGGAAGGCTGGTTATTGTGGTTCTTATAGGTGACTCATGTTTGTAGCTCACCTATTGGCAACTCGACTCTCTCATTTTGCACATCTGTATATTTTTCCAGAACACCTTTGGGTCACAAAAGGGCTTTCTATGATTCTCCTCTACCAACCTCATCTTTCTCATTCTCCTGTAATTTTTCCACCCCCTCAGATCCCTTCTGTCTTTGCCACCTACAGATGGTTGTGTCTTCTTTCCAGCAAATGAACATTGTTTTACCCCCATCTTTTCATCATATCCAAGAAGATGGGGGATTGGTGACCTCTCATACATCTATCTCCCAGAAACCAATTTTTTATCATGCCTTGATTCAAGATGCAAGGTTTTCTCAGTCTGAGGTGAATATCCTCTTCCAGGATGTGAATGCTTAACATTCTTAATATTCCAGTTTGTCTTACCACCCATTGCTTCCTCCATTTGGTATATAGTTATTGGATTTTTTAATTCAGGACTCTTTCCTTTTGGTTGGCTATGGCAGCTCATATTTTTCGAATTGGATCCTGAAGGATTTTGCACAGAGGATGCATTCATTAGGTCAGTATTTCCACTATTATATGGATGACTGGCTCTTCCTGAACCCATGAACAGAGGCATCCGTTGCTGCAACAGTGCTTCACCTTCAGGAGCTGTCTCATTTGGGTTGTCTGGTCAAACTCCCCAACTCAGTATTGACTAGGGTTTTTTTCTCATCTCATTTCTGAGATTGCCTTAGCCTTCTTCTTTATGACTTAAATACATGGAGGTTCTGGTTACCACAGCTCTCACATCCATTTCTTTTCCTTCTTGAGAGAATCTTTCTCTTAAGGGAGTTTTAGCTTCTTTCAAATTCTTTATTCCTCTCAGACGGACCCTTATTCGTCCTCTTCAATGGACTCTGGCCAATCAGTGGAGTTTTTCCAGAGATCTGATGTCTTCTCTTGTGTCTTTTCCATTATATTTCTATCTCTAATTGTTGTGATGGTTCATTCAGTTCCACACTTCTATTTCTGCATGCCTGAATCATTATTGTTATTTTCTGGGACTGGCAGGGAAAAAAAGAACATAATATTGATTTGATTTCTTTTGACTTTCATTTTCGTGGAACTTGGGACGCCATCTTTATCAAACTCGAATTTGACCTAAGTAAGGCTCTCTCTAATTGGATAAAATTACTCCTTTGATGTCTCAAGAAAAAGTTCTTGCATAAAAAACAGATAACCTTAGTCATGTGTGGGATGACTATTTTACACTGGCAATGCAGTATAAACATACAGTAAAGAAAAACAGGAAATTAAACCACAAAAATATTAAAATGTATTGACAGTTCATTGGGTGGTCTTAATATTATATATTTATTTGTGTGGGTGAATTTCTATTCACAGTGAAGATGTCAAATAACTTCAGATAAAAGTTAATTTATTCACCCTGACATTTCAGCTTATGCTTTTTTCAAGGGCCAATGAATGTCACAGATACCCAAGTGATTTTATATTAGAGTAACCAAAAATAAAATAGAACTACAACAACATAAGGGAACAATACACGTGAGGTGTGCTAAAAATATTGTTAAGTGGGTTAGAGTCGCTGATCATAATGTTAATAGTTAAAAAAGAAAAAAAAAGTATAGGGAGCCAGGCATTGTACTTGTTAATGGAAGGGTGTCTGGATTGAATCAAAAGAGATTCCATAAATATTCTGTCAAGAAAACTGTCACAAATCTAAAATTTTCATTCGATAAAGTGTCTTATTGATTGTGCTGTGTGCTTTGATGTGGTGTACAGTGGTGGCTTCTTTGTTGTCAAGATTACTTTAAAAGGTAATAATGAATTTCAATTCATTTTTGTAATAAATTAAAGGTGATTTAGATTTGCCACATTGAGTTTAGCTTCACATTTGCAAGTGTGGTAATCAGCTAGTGTGAGAAGAGATTCTGTGTTCTTAATTGCATTATTTGTAAATTATTTAGTGTACTAGTGCCACCGTTGTATTAAAAAATTAGCCTTAAATTTAATCAGTAACTGACAGCAAAAGAAAAAAAAAAAAAGAGTCAAACCTAAGTACTATATTTCTTATTTTTCCATGTATACATTTTATTTATTGGCATCAAAATAACTAATGTGTAAAATTTATAAACTTTTAGGTTGAATTAGTAGGATAAGAAAAAACAATAATAATAAACTTTCATGAGGTATGCTTACAAGCAGCTCGTGCATTGCGTCATTCAATACTATAATGTGAGCTACACATTTGCTGAATGAGTTATAACTTGTGTGGTGGGATTTTTAGTTGGAGATAGTTCAAATGGCAATAACATTAAGTATAAACAGATGTAGACTGTTACAGATCTTAAGCTATTTAGGATGAACAAATGTAGGTTCCTCTTACAATCTAGAAAGAAAAAAGGGTAATTTAAATTTATTTCATGTTGTATCATGGTGGTTCCAAGATTGGTCAAATTGACCGAGTCCAAACAGAATCAGGGTTGAGAAAATAACACAGAAAGTATAAAGTTTTACTGAAACAAAACATTTGATATTTATTTAGGTGGTCTTAAAGGTGGTATGCAATTGAAATTTGAAAATTTTCATATGAAGAAAAGTATTTTTAAGCTTAACATGGAAATCACTTTGCATTTGGAGCAGTCAGCACTTTGACTCCATATATTCTCTTTTGTAAAAAAAGCTATTAAAAATTCTGATTTTTTGTGTACAAAAGACTTGTAATGTTTACTAAAAGCTTGTCAAATTTTGTGAAGATAAAATGTATTAAAATTATAGAATGGAAACTGATGATTACTTTGTGGTTACATGGTCGGTCACAATGACCATGTGGAAAGAGTCAATCCCATTTGTCAATCAGGAGCAGCTCAATGAACTATTGGAACAGACTCTTGACTTTAACTCTGGTATTTTCCCATCTAACTTATTGTGCACAGCCAGATAAGTATTCTTAGCTTTTTTTCTCCTTATTCAGACACTTAACCAAATCAAGCACTGAATCATATGATTCAGCATCAAGCATTTCTCTGCCTTTCCCGGAATCCATTCATTCCAAACAGTGATCTGTTTCATATGATTAAGAAAGTGTTCTATACTTTTCATTTCTGTATCCTTAAATGTCAGAATAGAAACTTGCTTAGCTTTGCTCACAGAGGGTTGTGGGAGTGGTATAAATCTCTTTCTTCCAGACTGTAAACCAAAATCAGGCTGAGATGTCCTAAACATCAGGGTACAATATAGTAAGCATACTCAATTGTTCTAACCCTTGGATCAGTAATTGGTTCCTGGTCCTGGGTGGCAAAATTATGAGTTGTGGCAACTTATCCATCAGTTTTACACAGCCCCAGGCTTCTTTGTGATTCATGATCATCCTGACATGATACCTTCGGTCTTGGAGAAATTCACAACTGCTATACGGTTCACCATTTGGTACCTGCTATTTCACATGCCAGTGAAACAACTCCTGTTTACAAATTTTGTTCACCAATGACACATCCAGTCTTTCCCTCCCTCAATCATCCCCGCTTCCCTCACACTAAACGTGATCCTCAGGGGAAGAACTCAGTTAACCAATTGGGGTGCATCATATTCTGTCAGCTTTCCAGCATCAAGAAAGAAGTCATGTACCTTTGCAACATTTTCAAATGTACATTGTTCAGAAGGAATTTTATTTGGACCCAATAACTCTCTTGAACCACAATCTCCCTTCAGTGACCAACTCTTCTTCTCAATACCAAATATTTCTGCTTGCAGAATATTCCATTCCTATCAGAAAAAAGTATTTTTAAACTTTGTAACATTTCAGTAGGAGTAAGGGCAATACACACTTCAAAAGAAAAAGAAAACTCCACAATAATATGTTCTGTGTTCACAGCACCAAAATTTTTTTCTTCCTATCTATTCTGTGGTACTATCAGATAAAACTGGTTTCCCCCAAGAATGACAAGATAGGTTCACAGAAGAACAGGAGATTTGATCAGGAAGTTTATCACAGAGTGAATTTGAATTCTTTGAGTTTAGAAGGAAAGAGACGCTGAACACAATGTTACAATTCACATAACCTTTATTCATACTCACAAATACACACAAAATAATGTGTGTATTGGATAAAAGACAGTGCCTTTCTATGATAGTTATCTCTTTTAAACTCTCCTATGATCTTATTAACAAAGTTATTAACTGAATTTGCACGGGGTTGGTCCATTGGATTGACTTCATATTGGAAAAATAATATTAACTATAATTCCAAACTGATGAAGTGTATATTCACAAAATGTGCCAATCTTTTAAGCAAGTACAAGCCTGTTTCAGTTTTACATAAAACATTAGATGTATTACTTGTGTTTGTATACTAAAGATATGTATGTGAAATACCAACTTCAGTCTGACTGGACACACAAGTCAAGTATACAAAGTGATGTTCATTTGAAGAATAAAAGTACTTTTGTCCATTGCATAGTTTTCAACTGCTATTTGCATAACCTCTACAGCCTCCAAATGCATATATAAAGTTTTTCTCTATCCCTGTATATTGTATTTTCACTACTATAACTTGAACTGTAGTGAAATCATAATGTAAGGTAATATGAAATGTTGGTAACTCTGATACATCAGGAGGTCATGACACAGAAACATATAATGGTACCAGCAAATACATTTTTATCAGTAACTGGTATGTATTTCAATATCTGTTAGTGTTTGTAAAAATTCTTCAACCATGGAAAATAAACTGATCCTGTAGAACTCAATGTTATATTAAAATATTTGTCGTAAAATTTACATGCATCTCACTCTTTCACGTGAAATATATTAAAATGCATTTCTTATATGTATGTTAAAGAAAAAGGGCAGCACCAAGAAGACAAAGTGTCTTGGGAACATCGACAAGAGATGGCAACATTAGAGGAAGAGCTCAATGAAAAAATTTCAGCCATTGAAGAGGTCCATGAACATTATCATGAACTTTTACAGGTAAATTAATATTTTTTATAATACTTTTACAACATAATTCTCAGTCATGTTCCAGAAAGCACTTACTATATTAAGTTACTTATTATTATATTACATTTACTCATAAAAAAACAATTTTATCTAGATTTACTTTCCATATCTGTGTATGATTTTTATTGTACAATTGTGCAAATAATAACATGGATTGGAATATTATGACTGAGTTTTTGAGATTTAAAATCAACTACATATTTAGTGTTATCCTGTGAGTGTGGGAATGTTCTTTTTAGTTTATGTCCTCTTGAAAACAGTTCATTGCAGACTTGGTAGAATGGCTGCCATTTTGTCCTGTCAAATGCAAAATGACATGCATTTGCCCTTTATTTTATCCAGTGAGTCTTTCTGATGTTCATGTTTTATGTAATAAACATGACTACATCATTTTACTTTTATCCAGTCAGAGTTAGCATTATCTTCTACAGTATCCAAAATGAGTCTAAAATTTGTCTGTCATATCAGCAAGCTTTGTCTCCATAGTGAGCAACTGAAGCACCAACTACACTAATTCTGATACAGTACTTACCCCTCTCATAAAATTACCTATTCTCATTAAGCGCTGCCCTCTATATGCAAACTAGCCTTGCCTTCCACCCTTTGTTGGAATAACTATACTCCAACATGTCTCATGCAAATCATCATGCGTCATCTCTTAACTAATAGTAGCATGACATGCTCACGTGATGCATGTGACTCCCTCTACACTCCTTTACCGAACCTTCACTTCTCGTTTAGCAGTGTTTGAGTTCAGATGTCTTCTTCTGTGTGCTTGGTGCTTCCAATGTGACAATCAGTTGTTTTTATTTACACGAAGTGGTTCCTTTTTGAGTTTATTTTTTATTTTACTTTATACCAGTTCATTCTTGTCGCTGTAATTCTGCACTCAACAATTTGTGAACATTTTCTTGAGTTATGAATTCTGAAGTTCATGTTACCACTTCGATCAGTGTTTTTCTCAGGCCTTAGGTGCAGGTGACCCAATGGTGGATCTCTCTGCTTTAATATGTCGGGAAATTGAATGCTACATGGGTCAACCTTTGTCCCCGACATTGCCCAGGCTCCTTCTGAGTCAGCTGAAATTGTACAGAATGACGAGAATTTTGATAATCTTTGTACCACTTCCAGAGTTTGCTATTCCTTCCCAATTTCAACCTGAGGATCCACAGGATTCAGTCTTCACAGATTTATACTCTCAGGTTTGTGATGTTTTGATTTTTTCCCCTATCTCTTATTCACCTCAACCTTCCTTGTTACATGAGACATCTTCTCAATTTTTGGTATTTCGTCCCTCCCCAGATATTTGGGTACATGCTGATAAATTTGTCTCACAAGTAAGTGATCAGCATGCTGCACCTTCTGAGGACTTCTGATCAGTACTCCCTTTCTTACTATCATGCGGACTTTCCATTTTTGGATCAGAATTTGTTGGGTTCATTGTGACCTATTTGGAGCAGACTCTTTCCTGAGGACTTCTGATCAGTACTTCCTTTCTTACTATCATGCGGACTTTCCGTTTTTGGGTCAGAATTTATTGAGTTCATTTTGACCTATTTGGGGCAGGCTCTCGAATCTAATGTTAGTCTTACCCATGCCCGATATTCTTAACTTTGTCTTAACCTAACTGTCCTTTTATGATATCATTCTTCCATACATCTTCTATCGAAGGCTCTCCACAGAAATCCTGAGGAGTTTTCTGAGGATACCTTTCACCTTTTGTCATCCACATTAGCCTGCATTTGATCCTTGGCTCAGGTGTTACATACATGGTTTCTTTGTTGTTGAGACCTTATAGGTAGGGATGCAGTATTGGCTTTGGTCAATTTACCTTCAACTTATCTCAGGGACTTGCATCATGCACCTTTTCTGAGACATTATGTCTTTGATACAGTCCCAGAAACCATCGAGCCTCGGGTGATATCAGTCCACCAGCAATCCACCGTCATGACCTTTATAGCCTGTTTGTCTTGATCAGAGCTTCATTTGCCATCTATTCCCATTTCCCATCCTTCATCTTCCCAACCCTTATCCATTCCTTCTAATCAGGGTACTTCTTTTTATCATTTTCCTCAACAACATAACATCCGTTACCACCAGTACTGGTGACTGCCTTGTGAGTTTGGAACCATTGGGAGCTCGACTTTTGGAGTTTCTTCCTCACTGGTGTCCCTTTGTCAATAATAAATGGAGGATACGGGTTGTGTCAGAAGGATTCCTTCTCGAACTACTAGCAATACTTTGGGCATTTCATCACTTCCTTCTTCTCGCCCATCATTATTGGTGATGGTTCATTCAGCCACTTCTATGGTGGTGGCATATATCAACCACCAAGGGGACACCCAGTCCAGAGCTCTATGTTTTTGGACATTGGATCTATTATACTGGGCCCATGCACATCACATATGTCTTATCACATGTCATGTGCCAGGTGCTTTCAATCTAGTCACAGATCATCCTTTGCACCCAGACAAGACCTATCCAACCGAGGGGGAATTAGATCCTCTCATTTTCAGGGACCTTTGCCATCGATGGGGTTCTCCCCAATTGGATGCTTTTGCTAAGGACCTCCATACCAAGTTCCCTCTCATTTGGTCACCTGTACCACATCCACAGGCTTTGGTGGTTGATGCCTTCAGTCAGGATTGGTTACATAAATACCTTTATGTGTACCCTCCAGTCTGATTGCTTCATCAGCTAATTTCTCTTGACTACTCAATTCTTGTCGATTCTTCCTGATTGCACCCTATTGTCCAATGCAACCTTGATTTCCAAGGTTACCATGTCTGTTCCTCTTCCACTTTCTCCTTCTTCATCAACCTAGATCCCACATTCTACATCCAAATCTTCCTGTCCTGCATCTTCACACCTGGCTTTTGTCCAGTCCCTGCTAAAATGTTACGGTTTCACATGTCGAGTCACCTCCTTGTTAGCTAGTTTCTTACAACTATCTTATATGGAAGTATACCAGCATAAGTGGAAAGTCTTCTGTTGTTGGTCTGCTAATATGGCATCTCCTGCTGACAAGCCTTGTGGCTCATGTGATGGAATTTCTCATCTGCCTTTTTGACTGTGGGTCTTCAGTCTTCTTGCTTTCCAGATTCAGAGGCCTCCAAGGTTTCCTGCCCTTTCAGATTGGGACATTAATGTGGTCCTCCATATCTTCACTTTACCTCCATTTGAACTACCTTCCTCATGCTCCTTGTTTCATCTGACCTTTAAACCATATTTCCTTCTTCTCTTGGCCTGTGGACATTGATGGTCTGATTTGTTTGCCATTGAAGTTTCTCCTTTATCCTGATCATTCCTTTCTCCCTATGACCTTGGCAGCTCTGGAGGGTTGTCATCCTTTTTCCTACTTACCATCCTTCTATATCCTATCTTTACCTTAGAACAAATCCAGATAGACTTCTGTTGTTATATAGAATATGCTACTACTTTTTGGGGTACACGCAACCAACCCCTGGCACTCCTCCTCATTTCATGATCTTTCTTCTACTACCCTTAAGAATTGGGTTCAGAAATTAGTTAATTTGACATAATCTTCCCTGCCTTCTTCCTCCCATACATTGTTTCATGTTTCCACCCATCAGATCAGACATTTCACCTTTTCCCTCGCTTCTCGTCTTTGTTGTCCGATGGAGGAGATTCTACAATCTGGCATGTGGACCACTCCCACTGTCATCATTGTATTGTGCTTTCCTCTGCATTGGGGTTTCGTCAACCACCTATGGCTGTTCTACAGACTTCAATGTGACGTTAACAGGTAAGTTTTCTTCATTTCCTTTTTTTTAGGGGCCTTTGTCTCCCTTTTTCTCACATGGATCCCACTCTGTGGCAAGTGGTGATGACCAGGTATTCTTCAAATCTGCACTGTCAACCATGTTGACTTGCGCTCTCTCATCCTTGGCTTTGTAAGCTCTCCATTGAAATGGGATGTTCCACAAGATCACTTGATGTTTAATTACCTTGTGATAATTTGCTTCATAAAAAATGCCCATTCTGGACCATACCACCCATGGACTACATGGCTAAAGTAGAAGGGGAATGCTGCCCATCCCTGCCATGCCTCGAGTGAATAACTCAGTATGGTTTGCTTTTCAAAATAAGGTTTCGTGGTCACCCTTTGCATTGTCTCCAGTAATGACATTCCTCTTGGCTCTCCACTGCATTGTCACCCCCACGATTGGAGTATGAGAGTCCTTACCACTTCCAGTTCCAAGCCACTGGAGGCGTTAACCATGGAGGCACCCTCATGTATGCATTCCACAAGGAAAATATTAGAACCATATAATTGAGAGTAGGGCAGTGGTGTTCTGCTATTGTAGATGTGACATGGCCTCCTGATTTCATTTACACAACAACACTGGAGATAAGCCATCTCCTTACTGGATGATGTGGCTTCCTGATACCAGTTTACACAACCACTTGAGTCAAGCCATCACCTTCACAGATACAATAATCATAGTATAGCTACATAATTTGTTGTCAAAATTCAGCCTTGTTCTTCTGTTTTTTCACTTATTTTTTCATTGCTTTGTTTAAATCCAAAATATTTTTCAGCAATATATCTCCCTGTCCTCAAACATCTTGAGGCCAGTTCTCCATATACACAAAGAGTGACATTAAGTTACCTGTATTTATATAGCAATAAAGAAGAAGCAATATCTTTTAGAGTTTTGTATTTTTGAGGGGTCAAATTTTTCTATAAACTGCCATAGTGGGATAAGTCTTTGAACTTCTGTGATCCTCAGACTGCTATAGCCAAATCTTTAACAAACAGAGAATCCTTCTGATGCTTTTGAATGAAACTCCACCTTCTTTTCTCAATCCATATATCACTTCCAATGTGTATCTGGTGTTAGGCTGCCAAGCATTGTGAAATGTATATATACATAAAGATACGTGTATATATTATTCTTTCCCTGGTACTAAAAGCAATGAAAATTTCAAAAACATAGAAAAATAGGAAAGAAAATATAATACCTTGGTAATATGTATGATCTTTTAAATTAATGTTTAGTAATTAATTGTAAAAATACAAATCTCTAATTACTGACAAAAACAGTGAAGAATAAATATTGCATAAACTTTGTACTTATTATATTTTATTTACAATATTATAAATTAAGTATTCCAATCTCAAATGAAATCTGTATGATGGCACCTTCATATACTTTTGTCATTATACTGTTTTGTATTGGAAGTATTCATTCATAAAAATTTGTCATAGTTTTATATATAACACTAGTAAAATACTCAAAAGGGAGGAAACTGTGGCTAATGTCATAAAATGGTGGTACAAGAATGAGACTACAATCATTCAGGTCTTTTGAAGAATAGTGTTCCCAAAAAACTAGTCTTACCCCACTGAAATGTTTAAAATTCAAGAAAAACAGCCAAAAACTGGGCTAACACTTTAACCTAATTTGACTTGCCTTATGTCAAGTAAGAAAATAAACAAAAATATAGAATTAAAAGTAGAGTTATTGCTACTTTTCTTCAGATACCTATCAAAGAAATTAGAACAGGTAAGTAATGTGTATACACATAAAAAACACCAGTTGCAGCAGTGGTAGTTTCTCATTTTAAAAATATTATAGCATGTTAGAATAGATCAAATTAGCAAGTTTCAAGTTTCATCATTTATTCATAGTAATAATAAATACACCCTGACTTTGATCACTAATCAATAAACATCTGTATGAAAAATGGAGTATCTTACTTTCTTTATAGGAATTACAAAGTTACAAATCAATAATATAAATATGGCAGCTTAAAAGTAAACATTTAAGAGGACTATCAAATTTATGTTTAAGAGAACTACCTGATTATAAAAAATGGTACTTTTGGACCATCTTTGTTGCTGTCCGATGTGTGACATCCATCAATTTTATTGGATGATGACAAGCAGCTCTCACTTTGAAGAAAAGTGCTGGCTTTTTCGTTGGAAGAGAGTAAAGTTCTCTTTGTCATGTTATTCTCAATTGCAGGCACTGTAAAAAACCAAGATATTACAAAATGTATATTAAAGTAACAACAATACATCTCAAAGATCCACAATCAGACCATCAACTACATCTGATGAGCACAAATCATTATTTAAATACAGTTTGGATCATTATTATTTTGATATGTAAATGCACTTTATCTATAATATAAAACTTGAATAATTGGACATCTTTTACTGCACATGACACAAGGTTTTAGTGTCTTACATTCACAATTTTATTAAACTACTTTTTGTTCATGTTATACAAATTAATATGGCATAAATGCTTACCTAATAATCCATATTTTAATAATATATAAGTTTTAAGTTCTTGACTCTATAAGGAAATATTTTAAAAAATCATGAACTACCACTTGTGTTACACATGTAACACATTTTCTCTAGGCATCTTCTCTTCTCTGTTTTATCCACCACCCCTTCAAAGTGTACGAATTAAACGTAAATTGCTCCCTCTGATATCTTCATTGCTCAGACAAACCATAATTTTTATAGACTTCAATTTTGTTTGGTTACAGAGCTATAAAATAGAAAATCATGCCCCTACTTCAGGCTTTGTTAATAGTTTTATCTTAAGTTTAATTATATATTACCTATAATCAATAGAAAGTCAAGGTTTTCATCTATCAACTGAGGTATTGTATAATGTTCTTTTCTAAACAGATAAGCGTCAATTTCACCCAGAGTGCAAACTTGATTCCCATGGGAAAGTTAACGACTAGCTTGGATGAATTTGTAATGGTACTTGTTGCATAGTTAGAAAGCCAGAAAAATTTGAGAGTTAGGGGAAATTGTCTACTTTTGCATATTATTAGTCTATGTTTTTTGGTACATTATTTAATTAAATGAAAATTATTTAGTGCATTACTACCATTAGTATAAAAAAAACTAGGGTTAAGTTTCATCGACAATCGACAGCAAGAAAAAAAGAAGATTAGGTAAGCAATTTATTTTTTGTTTTTCAAGTTAATTCTTTATTTATTATTATAAAAGTAACTAAAATGTAAAAATAGGGATCTTTTTAGGTTAGTTAAAATGAAATTAGGTAAAATAAATAATAATAATAATATAATAAAAAATATTTCATGAGGCATGCATGCAAGCAACTCATTGTAGCTCCTGGGTAATGTAATTCAATAGCCTAACATGAGCTGCACATTCCCCCAAGTGATTTATAATGGCACGGATAGTAGTTAGACACAATTCAAAGGGCAATAAAGAAATAAAATTTAATTATAAATAGATGTATACTGTTACAAGCTTAAAGCTACTTAGGATAAATAAATGAAGGTTCTTATTACTTTTTTTTTGTTACGAGGTCTGTTAAATTGACTGACCCAGTTTACAGATAGGGTAGAGAAAATAACAGATAAAATAAAAAGTTTTACTGAAAACAAACATTTAAAATGTAATTAGGAGGTTTTAGGGATTACACAAAGGAAATTTGAGATTTTTTGATGAAGAAAAGTATTTTCAATGTTAACATCAAAATCACTTTGCACAGGGACTATTCAAAACAAATAACATATTCATGGACAAATTTTTATTTTAGTTTACTAAAAATATGATTTTTTGTGTGTGAAAGACTTATAATGTTAACTGAAAGACTACCAAATTTTGTGAAGATATACACACACACACACACTATATTTAAAGTTAGACGTATTAAATCTATAAAGACTTGAAACAAGCAGAAAGAGGTCACGTGATTGGTCATATTCACCGAGCTCTTGTTGAGAGATTTAACATGTATAGAAATCCATCTGCTTTGCTTTGAAATTTGTGATGGTTCTGTTGATTTTAGAGACAGATATATGTGTATATCATAAAGTGTATGTCTGAAATAAAAAAATTTACACAAGTATATATAATTTTCTAGTAGTAAGTGAAATGGCAATATTCTGTTATGACTAACTGAAATGAAAGGTTTAATTAAATTGTTATGGCTTTAACTATAAACATTTTAACCAAACAAACTTGGTATTTGGAAAGTGCATTAAAAATACTGCAGTGTAATTTGATATATACAGCCAAAAATATGAACATAACACAAAATTAGCAACAAAAAAAACTATGATGATAATTTATTAACTTGGTGGCATTTTGAGCAAACACTCCTTTTCAAGCCAGAGAGAAGCCTGTTGGTTACCGTTCCTGTAATTAACTGACAGGCTTGTTTCTTGCGTGAAAAAAAGCATTTCTTCATAACATCGCCAAGTTAATAAATTATTACCATAGTTTTTAAAGGTGATTTTTTTTTCTCTAAAAGTCTAATTTATTTAATTTTATCACCTTTGCATTTTTCTACTTAAATACACACACACACACACACACCCCAGAATACATACACAAGGTTAAAGCCAGCAGTGTATAAAAAGATCAACACTTTTTTTTTCTTCAAGATAACTTATCACAGCTTATTAGTTAACCAGTTTTTTGTTATGCAAATCAAAAACAAATTAATATTTTAACTTTTTCTGTTGTACAAGTAGCGTAATTGGTAAGATTTCATAATAACATTATTAATATAATAAGAAAATTTATGACATGATATGGATAACTAGTAAAGGAGATCAAGCACCTTGAGACTGATGATTTCTAGAAAAGAAATAAGGACAATATTTTATAGACATATATACAGCCTATTATAATATAAGTATGAAAATGTGGTATCATTATGGCTAAGAAAACTTTAATTTTAATAATGGAAAAATTTGCATAAAATAATACAACATTAAATCAGTCATTGTTTAGAGTCATTTTTAAATTTTGTAGCATGTATCATAATAATAGTTTAATATATTCAGTTAAAAGAGGAAGAACTTCAGCAGCTCAGGCAACAACTGCAGTTACAAACAGAAACTGAAGTGGAACCACAGTTACCACACAAAGAAGGATCTGGATGGGATGAAGAATGGGTAGAAGTAGATGAGGTAAAAAGATTCTATTTAAACCATTTTGTAAGTGGTTCCATTTTACTTCTAAATGGAAGAGGTTTGTTTTATAAAAAATTTTGGCATAGCTTGCACATTGCATTTTTAAAACCATGAAATTGACATCTACTAGATCTCATCCTCACTTTGAACTGTGCTGAAAATTAAACTAGACAAACATATGGTACACATCACTTACATTTATAATGTGTGTGAGAAAATTGATTGACAGCAATAACAGCAAACTGAATATTTTTTCTTCTAAGAGTTTTTTTCCTTATTTACTTCATAACAACCACTGTGTTGAACAAACACATTAAAATTGGTTCTCTTAAAATCTTTTATTGTAATGTCTTGTTTACTATTTAGAATGATGTGTCTGCATGATCTCAAATAATATGATTATAAAATAAAATGCTTTACCTTGGATTAGGACAATTATTTAGTTTAGTTTTGACAGCATTGCCGAAACCATGGTATCCTTTCTTCATGGGCTAGTAGTTAGGGAGTTTGATTCACTAGTTTGAATCCTATTACTTAACATGCTTACCCATTCAGTCTTGGAGGCATTCTAATGTGGTGGTCAATTCCATTACTGATTATAGTAGTCCAAGAATTGGTGGTGGATGATATTGGCTTTCTGTCTTCCCTCTATTCTTTTTTTTTCTAAATTATAGACAGCTAGTGCAGATAGCCCTCAAGTAGCTTTCACAAAATTTAAGAGAAAAAAAGCTTCTGTCATCAATAGAGAATAAATTTCAATCAGTACTTTGACACCTGACTGATTCTGTTATTTTTTTAATCTTGTAGTGTAAACATACATTTAAATGTAAAGAGGCCTTGATATAAGAAAAAAGAACCAGCTTTCACTTAAGGAAACTTTGCAGGTTTAATTTTGGCTTTGTGTTCACAATTGTTAGGCATGGAAATTGTCAATCTCTTCATTCTCAGCTTGAATATCTCATAACGTTATCACAAGAAATAACAGTGAAACACTTAGTTGAAACATGTTATGCAATATTTGATACATTCACAATTTTTCCAAGGACATTTATTTTTACACCAGTAGATTCCCACCTAGTGGTAGAGCATATATATTCCTCCATACAACCATCTCTTCCTTGATCTTTCCATTTTATAGTGTTTTCTTACTTCTTGATTTTATTTTATATTTTTCATCAACATTAAAGTATCTAACCTTTTGATTGCTGTTATGTTAGTCATGTGGCTTTTGGTTACTCTCCTAAGTTTCCCAATTTTATATAGGGTTTAAATTATATATATCACTAAGTAACAAGGGAAATATTTACATTTACTACTGCTCTTCGGGAAAAACAGTTATTTTGTATTCACCTAATTTATTCTGCTGTTTTAACTATCCTGTTTTAGCATATTTCTGTTACACATAATTCATGAGAAATCTTCTTATTCTATAGCCTCCACTTGCTCCATATAGACAATAAAACTCCTAATTATGATTAAGAGATTTCTTGTTGATTCATTCATAAACATTGAACATTGTTGGTTTTTGACTATAACAACTATGTTGTTTTTTATCTTTGCTTACACTGTTAAATGCATAAAATTCTTCATAATCCTGAAGAAATTCCTTTTATAGATCTCTTTTTGTGGGTTTGGCTCATCTTATTTTGTCATCTTCTCTCCTTTTATTTTTGTTCTTTTTGTCATTTTCACCTCATACTTCTCCTTTAGTTAAGCCCAGCATTTGACATCATGAAACTTTTCTGTGAAGTAATCAGTGATAGAAGATTGAAGTCTAGTTATACTATGTCTTAAATATACTTTCTCAGTCAATTTTCTGGAATTTGGCAGACTTTCTACAAATTTTCTGTAATGGATATTGTAATATAGTTTTTGTTTAACACCTTGCTGCTTGTGTCTCAATATTTCACCTGAAATTACCAAGAAATTTATTATAATGATTTCACTGTTAACTTGAAGCTTGAACTCTCTGTATTATTTTTTTCTTTTCCAGCCATTTTTTTCTTATTTGGAGGAATTTTTGACTTTATATTCTTCTGTCTGTTCTTTCAATGGAGTTGGAGGCTTCTTGTGCTTAAACGCTTTCATATTTTGCATTGGAGCCTCTTTTATTTTACTTTACTCTCCCTATTTTCAGGAATAAGCAGTGCCCTCAGAGAGCACATTATGTCTGGTTTAGAATCTCATTATCTTTTGTTATGCTTGTCATTTTTCATTACTATAATGTGATGCTCTTTTCCATAGTACTTAGATTATTTGTTTGGGGAGTGAGAGTGTTTTGTCATAGTGTTTTTGTTTCTGGCTTCATTTTTTCTGCCCAGTTGCATGTAAAGATATTATTCCATCATCTCAAAACATTTTCAAAGAAATTGCTTTTCTCATCTCCCTTGATCTGTCCATTTTATAGTATTTTATTACTTACTTGGTTTATTTTTTCTTGTTTTGTGTTATATGCTTTTCTTCAGATGTCAGTTTCTAAAGACTCAATAACATATCTCTGTTAGGTTAACAGAATCATCAACCATTAGATATAAGAACTTTGTAAGCCTGTGACCAATATCGATCCAATCTAAAAATTTCCCAGTGTTTTTTGATCCAATTTTTATGATTGGATTGGTAAATTTGTTTACCTTTGAAAATACACAATACATTCAGGTGCCTTTATGATGGAGAGAGTGTGCAATGTATCCCAAAATGAAGTCAATCACAGAGAAGAAAAAAGAAGTATTGGTGACTGTCAGTTCAGGTCACATTCTGATACATATTAACTGCTTTTTTTTAAAGAAAGATAAATGTATTTTCAACATAGTTTTATTTGCCATGAAATATATTAGCATCACTCGAAAAGTGCCTTTATTTCTAGTATTCATAACTATTAGTAGGTTCAACCTCCCCATTCCTGTTTTCATTGCAGGGAGGTTTGTTATGAAGAAATACTAAATCAACATGATTTACAACATTTTGCAGCTGACTTAAGGTCCTTGGACCAACATTTAATTTTTGTTCTTTTGTAGTCTGATAAGTACATGATTTATTTGCAGACAACTTTTGATACTAGATGCATGCCACTAGTATATATACATTAGTGATATCTGAACATGCGGAACACACAAATGCAGATTTTCAAGGTCCGATCCTGATATCGGACCTTTCTTTGGTACGTTGGCATCAATCCGATATTTCACTCAGGTTGCAGACTAAGAACTTTGGACAACTTTTACTTTAGTAGCTTTCAGACTACGAAGTGTTTTTTTTTTTTTTGTGAGCTTGTCTGACATCTTCATACATGTTTGTTGATTTTCACATAACCCTGAACTTCTTTCCATTTCTAGATCTGTGGGTAAGAAGCTTAACATTTGTTTCATATATAAGACTGTTTGAAACATTTTGGTTCTTCATGTTTTGTCATCTTACCTTTCTATTTATTAATCCAATACTTCACCTTGAAGTTTGTCCTTTTATTTCTTTTCACATTTTTTTACATGCTGTACAATATTTTTTGCTTCAAGATATTGCCAATTGCACTTATTTCTTTTACAACCCACATTTAGTTGTCTCCGAATTCATGGACTAGATAGCTACTAGGAATTTAGCTGCACACTCAAACAGAGGTGATCTACTGGTGGAGTGTTTAGTGTGAGCTCTAAAAATAGTCCTTTAGTACAATCTCTGATTAGATTTTTCAGAGTTAATGGGACCAAGAAACCATGGAAAGACCATAATCAATAGTTATGTAATTTAGTTGCCTATATATCTAGTTCTACTTATATAAATTGTATTTTAATTTGAGAAATGTGTTTTTGATATAGTTATAAATTTTGCCTTTTTACTTTCTTTTTGTTGGAAAATGTTAGTTATCATGTTATGTATTATTAGGACTCTAGTCAGGAATCTTTTAAGATGCCAGCTTCTCCAGTTTCATCAAGTAAGGAGCAGGTGGAAGGGAATTATAGTAATTACAGCAGACAAGTAGAAGTTCAGTCAACACCCGCTAGAGACAAGTAAGTTTTCTCTGTGTTAAGTGATTTTTTGTTTAATGCTTGCCTGGAAATATGTGTAGTTGTAATGTTTATCTGGGAAATCTATAGCCTCAAGTAGAAACTTTATTAATTAACTTGCAACCCAAACTTTATGGTACATTTTTGTTTTTCCTCTGTTAGCATAAAAATATTTACATAAGTTAATTTAATAGAACATCTAAAACAGTGGTAACTACAAGTAATCTAGATTGCTAAGTACTGCATAATGTACTGGAATCTGTTATGGTTTTGAATTTTTCAAATTCCTATTTTGTGCATTGTTGTCCTTACTTCTCTCTATCATCTTAAGATTATAATAGATTTTGTGAATTGTAACTGCTCTAAGTGTGTTTAACCTATAATGTTCTTAATTTTATCATCAACCTATATAATGTTCTTAATTTTATTGTCAAACTATATAATGTTCTTAATTTTATCATCAAACTATATAATGTTCTTAATTTTATCATCAAACTATATAATGTTCTTAATTTTATTATCATGTAATTCTTGTAATTAAAGCAGATTAGTTGGACACCATTTATCAAATTTGACATCACATATTTACTACCTAAAATATTTTGTGATGTTTGATTTGCAGCAGCAAAATATTGCAATCTGAGATATTTAAAGGAATATTTCAGTAAAATCATATATATATATATTTTTATATTTTTCTTACAAGTTAATCCTACCTATGCATAATATGTATCAAAATATGTAGCTCTCTGGTTGGAGTATAACATTCTAAGGCACCAGCTGAAGTCTTTGTCTTTTCCAGTAACTATGTTATGCTTGACAGTCCATAATTATTAACATATATATTTTTTCACCTTCAGGAATGGTAATTAAGTTTATTAAGATTAATTATGTATTTTACGTGTAGATAGCAATGACATTTATCATTATTAATATTGTTTTCTTTATCATTAGGCAGAATGTTGTACCAATTATTTGTACTCTTCCATAGTTATATTTCTATACATACAGTTTTGTTTTGTATGTTGCTTAGACCAGGTATTTCATTAACAAAAAAAAAAGTTAGTAATTAACATTAACTATGTTATAAAAGGAATTTATTTGAATAATAATATATTTAAAAGTACTGAAAACTCTATAACTGATTATCAGTATTTTTGTATAGCAAATAAAAAAATCAAATAGCTGCTCAGTAATTTTTGGTGAATTACTACATTAGAGCAATGACATCAAGATTGCTCACTCACTGACCAAACATGTAAAGCCAAGAATAATTGCTGCTTATTACACTAGAAATATTCTTGTTTGGCAGCTGCTTTTACAGAAGTAGATATGAAACACATAAAAACACATATATATATATATATATATAATCTGAGCAATAATGGGAGCTTAACAATATTGTGAATATTTAAGCAGTTGATATTTTATAATTGTTCTTCACATAAAGGATACAGTGACAATAATACTCTTTTGACTTTGGGTTACATATTCAGGTAACACACAAGTCTTCAAAAAATAAAGCAGGTAAGTATTGAAGTAGGCTTACAAGTTTCACATATGTCAACATCAGTTATTATTATTTAATTTCATTCAGAAAGGCCATGTAATTTAATATGATAAACTAAGCACTGGATTTTCTAGGATGTTAAAATCTTTTGTACAAAATTTCTCATAAGGAAAAACTGCTTGTATCAACTACCTGTATGCATAATTCAAGCTGGAACTTGTCTATACATGTATTATACTAAAAAATGTTAACATCAGGAGGCTTTAAAATATGTTAGAAAATATTTATGGTACTACAGTACTACAATATATTCATATGTCTACCTATTTCACATCTTTTTTTTTCATACAGCGTACTTCACAGATACATTTGCATTATAACCATGAAATGTGCTTGTATTCCAACAGTTACATGTAACAATAATCATCAGATGCATCTGCTCTATAAAGCTGATAAATATAACTACAATATTAATTCATTACAAATTTCTCACTGCTGTTTAACAGTTTTACTGTTAATTTTTCCTTTTGTGTTTGAATACACAGGCCTGCGAATTTATGCTTCATAAAAGTTGTTTTGGTTTCAATAACAGATTTTCCATAATTCAGCTGTGCAGATTTTGAAAATATTAATTTTTTTCTATCACATAAGAATGTTTTACAAATCGGGAAACCAAAAAAATTTACTTAGATCAAATTATTATTTCGTTTAACACAATGAACATTTTTTATTACTATGTTTGTTAACAAAAATAC